GTATTGTTAACCAGTATTTGGTTCGCAAACGAGTCGTGAATCTCTTGTCTCTGCAATAGTATTGAGAAAACTGTTATCCATTGCAGGGATAAGGGAGGAGAGGGTATGGCTAATGGATCCAGGATTTTGTTGTCTTATTTGTAACGTAGTATCAAAACTATAAATATTTTAAATATAGAATAAATATGAAACATTATTATATTATTGAGTGCCATTTGTTTTTTGAGAATACTTTTATATTTATAAGTTTATGTTTATGTGACCTAGTATAAATATCAGAATTTTGCAAAAACTAGAACTATTAATATACGGAAAGGGGCCAGTATTTTCTGATTACTGTATAATTCTTAGGGGCCATTCAATAAGTACGTACGCACGGGATGGGGGGAGGAGGGGTCAGGTCAAAAGCGTATGAAAGTGTATGTTGTTTGGGGGAGGGGTTCATTAGTAGTCAACGTACAAAATGAAGGGGGTCATCGAGAGATTTTATGAATTTGTCTAAAGATTTGTTTCATATCAATAGATTGAATCTTAATCCGCGATAAGACTACATAAAGACTTTCGACAAATATTTTATTAAACTTATATTTGAACACATATTTAGACTGAATTTGAGTGCAAAATACGGTTTTGGGTACGGATTATACAAAAATGAGAAATAGAGCTACTTTTTGACAGTTATTTTGTCACAAGAACTGAGGAATCAATTAAAAGGTGATAAAAGTAGTAAAAAAATTAAAAAACAAAGATAAAAAAAATTAATAATTTTGGGGAGGGGGTTGGCGAAAATGTACGTATGCAATGGAGGGGGAGTATCTAGGGGGGAGGGGGGGTCAATTTTTGGGCCAAATTTTGCGTACGTACTTATTGAATGGCCCCTTATATAATTATAGTAAATTAAAACAATTCTACTAATAAAATAAACAGGCACTAATTTATAAAATTCACTGAAGCTTGTTTTGATAAATTGGCGTAAAATATAAATTAGGTTTATGTAAAGTATTTCGAGAATTACTTGATTTATATCTATTTTAAAATTAATGTTAATTTAATTATTTTTATTTTAAACTTAATTTCAATAGAAATTGCTTTCAATACTGAAATTGTATCTAAAAATAGCCACAAATGTCATAAACTTTCACTTAAACATAGTCTTAAGTATTGACCCATATATGGGTCAAACATTACTATAAAAGCAATTGTATTCAAAACTACTGGACATTGCATTGAGTAGTGGACTACAGTTCACTACATACTTGATTTCACATGAAAATATAATCATTTTTTAAATACTGAAAACTAAAATGTTATAAAAGTGAAACACAAAAGTTTTTCAAACATCAAAACTTTAGATATATAAATGGGATTTAAGTTTTAAAATTTAATAATGTTGTTAAATATGTTATTTATGCAGTACATTTAAAAATTTCAATTACCCTGTAACATTACACTGTAATTATTACAGTAACAAAGTTTATATAATTTTGACGGTAAATAGGAATTTTGTGTGAGTAATGGGTACTATAGCGCCATCATATGTACAACAAAATAAGCAAGCATATTAGTTGTTTATTGTTTGCTTGCAGTTTGCAGACAATGTTTTTGTTACTTTTTATTGACACCTGTCAAACTCATTGTGTGAATTGAGTGCTATAATTAGCTCAATTCATTAGTTACTCAAGGTATGTTTATAATTGTTTATTGCATTTGTAATACAGTATTTTCAAGTGAGTTCACAATTTATATGACATTAATAGCTCACTAAAGCTATATTAGTAGACGCAGTTGCACCAAAATAAGCCATACTATGCGGTCATTATTGAGTTTTATGATTATAAATTGTCTAACAAGGTGATTTAATTAATGATCATATTGCTTATGAATTACAGAAAATGTCATTTCATTTGAACGACGACTTGTGCGAACTCATACTGTCCTACCTGTCCATTGAGGACAGGGTTAGGTTGGAGTGTGTGAGCAAACAATGGCATCAATTGATATACCGAAGTGTCCACAAGTTTTCATTACCGCTGCCGAGAGGGTCAGTCATCAGTCATCAGAGGTGTCGTCATTGGGATATAAACCGGATCTCAGTCTCAATACTCACAAAATGTCAATTCATTCACTCATTGAAGGTTTGGTCGGTTTGTGACCAAAGAGTACTGCAAATGATTGCACAGAATTGCCATCAATTGTATGAAATTGACTGTCGTTTTGATTACAACTATCAGAATATTCCCGAATATATTTGGAAAGAGTTTGCCCACAATTGCGGCAAAAACCTGGAAACCATTACAATTAGAAAATTTAGCAATAATGCTTATAAGCCAGGTAAAGTAGTTAGTAACTACTAGTTACCTTAACATTTTTTTACTACCGGTATCATATAGTATTAACTTAATAAGTGATTTACTATTAGGCTATTTATTAGCAAATCTATTGCCTTTTATTAACACTTAATTATTTGTATATTGAATCCAGATCAATTCCTATCACATCTCATCAAAT